AAGGTTTGACAAAGGAAAAGATTTTGTTGTGCAGCTTGTCTATCACCTTTGTTAAAAGCGGTAATAATAACTTGATTGGTTATTTGTAACTAACAGACTGCTAGTTCCAAAGACCACCTAGAGTAACACTTGGATTAACTTGTGACTCAGCAGGAGGAATGAGGAAATGAGAGAGTAAATGAAGGGGCAGTGACAGCAGCAGTGTGCCGCTTGTGGTTGTTTAGTAGTCTGTGGCCTGCATTCCTCTGTGGGATCATCTGAAAGCAACATGTAGCTTGAGTAAAGAAAACACACGCTCTTCATAGCAGCAGTGACAGTGTGTAAATAGTTCCTGCAATGAATGTGTTGGCTGTTTAAATATGCCAAATGAAATGTGATAAATTTTCATTTATGTTTGTGGTGTATAAATGTTTAAAATGGGCCTAAACCAGTAACAAACAAAAATGTTGAAATTTTGGGAATGATGAATGATGGTGGAAAATCAAGTACACTGGACAAGTGGGGAATAATAAGCACAAGGATAATAGATTATCTGTAAGTTTATGAACAAAGTGGAAATATTTATCTATTTGTGCTTCTCAGGCAACTATGAGATGGTGAGTTTGCTACTGGCACGAGGTGCTGACCCCTTATCAAAGAACCATGGTGGAAACGCCCTTACATCATCCCTCTATGAGGACATGAACTGCTTCAGTCATGCTGCTGCACATGGACACAGGTATGTATCCCCCAGTCTGAACATATGCTGAAAACTAGTAGTGGAAGACCAACTGTAAACATTTGCACACGTAGCACAGAAATAATGCATCTGTCAGCTTTATGTTACACATGACTAGAGTTAGAGTTTGTGCTGTGAGGATAGATTCAAACGTTTTATCGTGTGATTTAGGAAGAGCTTGAAGGTTTTGTAGTGTGAAAGGAAAGTTTAAGGTGTCATTCTATTCAGAGTCAATTTGTTTCTGAAGACCAGCTGGTGGTGTAAACTTCTCCACCTGTTCACTCTGTCTGTGTGAACACGATGTAGACTCAACACTTTACATTGCTCAGTGAGGGTGATAGATTACGTAATGAGAGAGGAGACTCCAGGGTTGCAGAATTGGAAGTACATGTTGCCATTTTGGCAGATATTAATGATCCTCCACCTTCTAACTTTCTTTTCTTGTTTCCTTCCTTGCATGCCCTCTTTCTGCCCTCGTTCTACTCCCTATTTATCTTGTCAGGAACGTGCTGAGAAAGCTACTGACTCAGCCGCAGCAAGTCAAAGACGATGTCCTGTCTCTGGAGGAGATCCTGGCTGAGGGGGTTGAAGATGAGACGGCTGGGATCTGCCCTTTCGTCCATCTTTCCCCTCTTCCTAACTCTTCCAATGGTCCCCTGCCGATGCCAGAAGTGGGCATACCAAGGCTCTGCAAAGCCAGGATGAAGGCTCTCCAAGAGGCCAGCTACTACAGCGCCGAGCATGGCTACCTGGACGTCACCATGGAGCTGCATGCTATGGGTACTTTTCAAATGGCAAGAAGAGGATGTGCCTACTTTTCCAGTTTATAGAACCAAATAATAAATCCTTTCTATTTAACCAGGCGTGCCATGGAAACTACACGTGTGGCTGGAATCTCTTCGCTGCGCCCAGCAGCAGTCCAGGACAGGGGTCACCCTCTCCCTCCTCAAAGACTTTAACACAATCAAAGAGGAGGACTACTGTGAGGAACTGGTCACCACAGGCCTGCCCCTTATGTTCAATATTTTGCGCACCACAAAGGTACAGTCAAACACGATCATGAGTATGATTTTCACACTTTTTCAGTGTTAAACAGATTTAATTATACATTTCTCTTCTTCTCGTTCTATTACTTTCCTTCAGAGTGACGCCATTACACAGCAGTTGGCAGCTATTTTTAGTCACTGTTTTGGCCCAGCACCCCTCCCAGCCATCCCTGAGATGAAGGCAACTCTTTCAGCACAGTTGGGTAAGGAAACTATGATCCTTTAGAGTATATGGATATACATGCTCAGAGTTCCAAGAGGATAGGATTTCAGTATTGGCTAGTGATAATTAGTCATTTTGACATCTAAAACACCAGTAAATCCTTAAATACAGTTTTCTTAAGCCTAAAGTCACCGTCAACAGATTCCTTATACAGTGATACAAACCCTAAAACAACACAAATGTAACACTTGGGCTGTAAATTCGATTTTTTTCATGAATATTAGTTAGTAAAAGAGTGTCTGATATTTTTGTTTTGGTAATCTTATCAGCAGTAATGTGTACAGAATGACTCTGCTGTTACTAGAACGTTATGGGTTTTATGCATGTGCTGATGTTTTTCTACAGACCCACACTTTCTGAATAACCAAGAGATGTCAGATGTGACATTTGTGGTTGAGGGAAAACCATTCTACGCACACAGAGTGCTTCTGGTTACTGCCTCTGACCGGTGAGTGCAGAAAGGTACAAGAGTGCATTTTAAGGCTTTTTGATAAGACCTTACTTAAAGGGTTTTATTTTGCTCTAGATTCAAGTCTTTGCTGGCATCATATGGATCAGATGGAAGCTCCGATAAGGAGATTGAGATCAGCGATGTCAAGTACAACATATTTCAGGTAAGAAACACATTCCCTATTTAGAGGTGTTGCATATGACAAAACAGACATTATTTAGATCAAATTGCTCATAAAGAAACCTCTAACCTCTGTACAGATGATGATGTCATACCTGTATTGTGGAGGAACTGAGTCACTGAAAAAGAAGGTGTCTGACTTACTAGAGGTAAGAATTGTTAATCGCATTAATCTGTCTCAGGGTTGGTATCTTAGAAATCCCAGCTTTAGTTCTACATCTTCACATGAATTACTCATTCTTGCTGACAGTGGAGATTGTTCTTTTTTTGTTTTTTTTAATTTGAGTTTAGCTACAAGCTTGACATAGACAAGTTTGTGTTCATAGCAACAATTGAGCTCAATCGTCCCGTCTGGCCAATCCTTTCTAAGCATGAAGCCGTTACTTTGATTTTGAAATATAGTACCCTTATCACAAGTGCACCAGCTGGGCTTTCAAATATGTCCTGTGTTTTTGTGCATTTATCAATTTAAAAATCGTTCTCTCTTCATTTTTTCATTAGTTTTTATCGACAATTCGTAGCTTCTTGAACTGAAAACAAAGGAAAATTAAATACATGTTACACAAAGTTAAATATTGCTTGTATGCAAACAGAATGAAAGGATGCATGACATTATTTTTCCTCCATTAAAATGTTCATGTTTTCTCCTGCAGCTGTTGTCAGCTGCTAGTTTGTTCCAGTTGGGGGCGCTACAGAGACATTGTGAACTCATCTGCTCTCAACATATCAGCCTAGATAATGCAGTCAGCATCTACAAAACTGCTAAGGTAACAATTACTGATAGACTTGGATTGCACTACTGTGAGTGCAGTACATATGTATACATCAGTGCTATTTCAGGCATGAAAATATGACGTTGTTTTGATCATTTAGGTTTACATAAATTAGGTTTATAAAATGTGGTCATTTCACTGTCCTTTCTTCTGTCAGGTTAATGGTTCGGTGGAGCTGAGCTCGTTGTGTGAAGGTTACTTCTTGCAGCAGATGCCTGCCCTGCTGGAAAGAGAGAGTTTTAGGAGCTTGCTGTTGGGACCCCCGGGGGCCCGACAGGGAAACAACTCCACTTCTACGCTGACGCACAGCCGGGGTGACTCACTTGTGGAGGAGCTGGAGACCACCCTGGCTCAACGACTTCGCTCTCTCTACGTCACTTCCCGTGTCTGAAGACAACATGGCAGATGCTGTTGAGAGAGGACAGAAATAAGTGGATAAATGTGGCAATTAAGAAGTCTCACCTTTTCACTGATACAGAATCAGATCTGAAGTGTTTCAAATACAGAAGTTTTCTTGGTAAAATCTGATTTGTGTGTGTTAAGGAGCAATATTTTGACACGGGCACAGATTGGTGAGATGCCTGGCAGTGATTTACTCTGTGGGCAACTCGGCATTTCATACTTTGTGCCAAGCACTCCATGAAAATGTTTTTTGTGACGTACAGCGTTCCGAAGAAGAAAATATGATGCCTTTTCTCCAGGGCTCACGAGGCTTTACTGGACAAGCAACAAGTTGAAAGTCTGAATAATAAGACAATGCTGCCCTCTAATGGACAAAGCTTGCAACATAAATAATTGCCCTGGAGGATTGGGATCAGTGGCAGCCTCACAGTTTTGACTGAAGCAATGTAAAGTGATTACAGACTGAAGCCTTTATTGAAGAATTGAGTGAGGTGGCCTTTTGATGCTGGACTTTAAACTTTCTGTTCTATAGTATTGCATAGTGGGAGCAAGGCTGCAGCCTTAAACTCCCTGCATCAATGTAAGCTTTGGATTAACAAATCTACTTTTTTTTAATGTAAAAGCTTTTATTTTCTGTTTGTTTTTGTTTTTTTTAAGTACGATGAGAGTAATGAAAATTTCAGAAGAGTGGGATGGACATTTTCTATTTAATGAGAAAAAGATGTGAGAGTATTTAACGGGGTGTCCCCTTTTTTATTTTTATTTTAATCAAAGCAGATTATTAGTATGGAAAAAATGCTTCTGCTGTTTTACCAGGTACGCTCTAACAGTTTATTAAGCTTGTGTATGCTGAGGTTCAATGCTTCGACACAGGTACAGCTGCGGAGGCTAACATGGGATTTGGACGACAAGAGTCTGTTTTTGTGCTGGATACATTATTAAACCTGGTAAACAAATCATTTAATGTGTGAATTGTTTTGGACTCACCTGGAATCAGGGAAAACGGCAGATTTACAAATGAGGAAGCCTACAAAATGGAAATAATTACATATGAAATACAATCTTACCACAAATCCATGGCATGTGACATAATGAGGGGGGGAAAAAAAAATCTACTGCATCGATCTTAACTTTGTTTATGAAACCTTTTTCCTCTCTGGTCTACACTTACCCTTGTTTGCACAGGTAGAAATAAGGATAACAAACACACCATAACTGAATGAGTTTATTTGTTTCAGCACTGAAGATGCTCACAGTTATGTTTTATGGGGATTACAGTCAGTTTTGCTCCTGCTCTGTCAAAAGACCCATGTAGGCCTCTGAATCATTAGATATCCTTAGTGCTGCTAGCTTCCCATTGTAGAAAACAGAAAGGAGGGCGCATATCAGGGTATTGCTTTGTGTTTGTAGTACTGGTATCCCCTCCCTGTGCCTCTACTACTAACGGGTAGAGAGAGCCCAGACCTCAGAGCCTTCCAGAGAGAGGTACAGAGTTGAGGAAGCATCCTTCAAAAACTTTGTGCACAAGATAAGGAGGAGGAGGAGGACGAAGGGAAAGATCAGCAGGGCCAAGGGAACAATTTAAAAGAAAAAAAGAGCCAGAAATAAAAGCAGAAAGGGTGGGAAAGTAAGGGACAGAAGGGGAATTTAAATTTTAAAAGGTAGTTTTGTGGAAAGAGAAGTGATGAAGGCTGAGAGAAGGAGTGAGTTTGGCATGGAACATTAACACTAAAGCCATGCAAAGAAAAGCTCATGTTTTGACATGCACACAGCAATACAAGCTAAAAGCACAGAGCAGGAATCCCCAGCATTGTTGAGAAAACAATCAACCCCCACGGTTTGTCTGTCTATTTACAAAGAGAAGAAGCAGATCAGGATCTGTGGTGTTCTTCTCCTCCAGCCTGGCCTACACGCACAATAATATGAAACTGACAAATATCAATAGAAGAGCATATTCCCTCTCCAAAAAGAGGCTAAGTCTACATTCTTAAATTACTGGTAAATCATTTTTTTTCCAAGAGTTCCCACAAGTTCTCTTTCCCTCTGCAGAGAGAGCATGGAAAAGAGAATTTATGACTTGTCAAAGTTCACATAATTCAGTTAAAGTCAGACCAAAGCAAAGGAAATAAAAGTTCTTTTTTTTTTCTTTAAATGTCCCATTTACGAACACACAAGAGGGTAATAAATAACATTCAACTGACCTAACAGCTTTGTTCATATAAATAGCCAAGATATAATAAATTAGGAAATCAAACAGTGAGATGAACAAACATGAATAAATAAGGACAACAATACAAAAATATCCACAGTTGCATTTATCACGTCATTTTTTCGTTTGTTTCTCTACTCCTACTGCTGGTAAGTGAGACTAGAGAGAGGTATAAATGAAAACCAAAGAAAAAAATGCTGCAGATAATAGGAAACAGGAGTGTTTGGATCATTATTGGGTCAATCAAACAAAGACGTACATGATCATGTAACAAAAATACACAGAATTTAAAATGACAGTAAGTGGCAGGCTCAGGTTTACCAACCTGTTCCTATGGTATCTAAACAGTGTCACAACTAGACATTTCTTTTTTTTTTTTCTTTTTTTACATAAGAAATGATATCAGTCTGTACAACAGAATAGATCATTCATTTTAAATACCCGAATATCCACCCACTTCCCTCCCCCCACCCTATACTATCATTTAATATCTCCCGCTGCCCTGTTCTTCTCGCACCCAACTCCTCTCTGAAAACACAATTCCAGTCTGTTTTGCAGCAATAGTATTAAGTCTAATAAAGTCAGTTAGTATTTCAAACCCAGTTCTTCACAAAGAAAGTACATTATAATAAAAAGCAAACAAATACAATCCAGCAAGCATCCGTGTCGGCTGTTTGGGCTTTCCACAAAACTCCTCTCCCTTCTCTCCTCCTCGTGTTTCTGCATGTTGTCTTCTTTTTTTTTTAAAATGTTGTTCATCATTGTTGATACATCCCAGAGTTTTTGTGCATACTGGATCTGTGCGTGTATGTTTTGTGTATGTGGCGTCTGTAGTGTTTTTGAATAATGCTCGTTTTCCAATTAGCAAATGCTCCTTGAGGTCAGAGAACGGTGATAGCTGGTGAGGGGAGCGAGTGGTCTTGTTTTTATTGGGATGTGTGTGCTTGTGTGTTTCTAAGAACAAGAACACTACAGGATTTTTTTTTTTGTCTACTTCTACTGATGGCTGCCAGGGGTGGAGTCGGGGTGCAGAGGAAGATGAAGGTAGAAGTCTGCATGAAGGGTCTGTTTCCATGGTAACCCCTCCCCCAGCACACCGCTATAAGAAGAGTCCTCCGTCAACAATTGTCCGTCTCTCTTGGCACGCTGGAGGGGTGTGGAGGGGTGGTCGAGGGAGGGCGAATGGAGCAGGGAGCAGGAGGATGGACTTTAATAGGTTTTCTGGATAATTCCTGGTATCAGAAACAAGTCAGGTCATCACACAGGTTAGCAGCAGCATGGGAGCAAACAACTGAGGCCCACAGGTGATTAGATGGTTAGGGTACAGGGGTGGTAATGATGGTGGACACTGAGGGGTAATGGAAAGGGGAGTGGAATGGCAAGGGTGTGTGTCTGTTGTGTTGGTGCAACATGTTGTTTGCAAAATATCACTTTGATTCTTTTAATATATTTCTATCTATATAAAGTCATTTTATAGAAAAGATGTCCATAAATGATTTCTATATATATATATCTAGCTATGTACAGATAGCATATTCTCTCTGTGTCTCTGGCTTAAAGTGATACTGGGATGGCTACAAAGCGCCACGGTCTAAGATTCCTCTGGTGTCCCCACAGATGCCACCGACAAGTGGGCTCTGTCTCGGCCTGCAGCGGGGAATTTGGTGTCATTATTTTCTGGGTCATGCCTCCGGACGTGCATGGGTGAGGGGCAGTGCTTGGAGGGCGTGCCAGGGGGGTAGGGCACCTGTCCATTCTTCTCGTCTGAAAAAAGTTGTTTAATTACGTCAAAGAAGTTACTCAATGGGCTGCCTAGGTACACAGATGGGAAGAAAAGAGGACAAAAAAGGGGGGAAAGAGAGAAGACAGAAGAAACAAACTAATGAACAATGGGGTTCACAGGATAGAGAGATGGCTACATGTAAGGCAGAGCGAGCGAGCAGAGGTGAGGAGGTGGTAGACCCACGTACACTGTGCAAGGATGAGAACTGCCGAAGCAGCCGTGTTTAGACCACATAATGCATTAGCCCCGGCAAATCATGCATACGTTTCAGCGCAATCCACGGAAAAAAACACAAGTGCCCATTAAGTCGATATAGTGACCAGTGTGTCTGAACGAGTTTGGCTGGCCAGAAGCAGGACAGACAAGATGATAGAAGCGAAAAATGAGAAAGCGTGGAAATTCAAGAAAACGCTTCCTGTCAAAGAAGCATTACTGCTCCCCCTGAAACATAAAAAGTCTTGGAAACCTGTCCTCCAGCATCAAACGTCTGACACATCCTCAATGTAGGTGTGTCAGACGTTTGGTTTGACATACTAATCATGAGTCGTGTTTTTGCCAGCTAGAAGCTGGCAAGCTTTTTATTTTTCCTTCAACCTCAAGGAAACAGCATCACTTTTAGACTACTGTAATTCCCTCTACAGGGACCACATCCAAAAAAACATCTCTGATTGTTTAAACTTAGCTGTCAGATTTCTAACAGATTCAGAGAAGTTACTTCCGTCCATGCTACACCACACTAGCCACCTGTTATACACAGAATTGGCCTTAAACTTAAATTTCATTCATTTTATTTTTAAATACTTATACAACCTCAGTCCCATCTCCATTACAGACATACACACACCTTATGAACCTGCCCACTCCTCATGACAGAGCCTCCCGAATTACATAGAGTTCTGTATCCATTTCCTCCTTACCAGAGGTAATTAGATTTGGAAGTGTCTACTTTTAAATCACTCCTCAAATTTTACTTCATTGTGAACTATTTATGCTGTATTCTCTAATACACAATTTTACTGTGTTTTGATATCATAACCATAGCACTGAAGGGCAACATAGACTTCTCATTAGTGAGGCTGTCTACCTTGTGGTAATTGTTCATAGTGACGTACATAACACAGTAAGAGACCTGAATGGACCTCAGAAAGAGGAAACACGTGCAGTGTGTGTACGTATGGACAACAGTACGCATGCATATAAGCATTAAGTACACCAAACATAAGAAATGAAGCAAAAAAAAAAAAAAAAAAAAGAGGTGATGGTCCGCATAAGCGTGACTGATCAGTCAAAAACAAGACTGTTTCTGACTTCTTTGCAGTCCAAGCAAACAGTTATAGCATCAGTAAAACAAGAAAAAACAGACTGAGGAGCTACACGGACAATAAAGCGCACAAACATGCTGCGTCTACACATCAGCAAAATGTAGATTATAAAATAGAATTTCTTGAGGTGAAACATTCTGTTATCAGTCTGTATGCACTTCCAGTATGATGATATTGTGTAAATTAGAAAATTTGTCATATACGGATTAATGAGCAATTGCATGCAAGTGCACATGTGAGAAGGCCAGTAGTAGTTTCTACTGATCCATTATCCTGCAGGAATGTGGCTGTAGCTAACTTCTTCCCCATGTTTATACTTCTAATTCCACATTAGTCAATTAACTCTTTCCCAATCCGGATTGGGAATCCGTGTTTTGAAAAGACTACAACAGACCACATAATATTGCCTTTTCTCAAAAGCATCTTTATCTGAATGAATATACCTACATTTTACTTCCTGCATTCCTCCATACTTTAACTCTTCATAAGTACAGGTCTCAGAAATGCTGTCATCACTAGTGATTAGGGGCATTAATAACCAGGTTTTGACAAAGCCCTTTGACACAATGTTATGCAAATCAATTTCTATTCTTAATTACAGTCACTGACTTTTATTTTTAAATCCCTTTTGTTCAGGTACTACTAGAGGTGTGTAAGTGGGTCAAAGTAAATAGAGAGGAGGAGAATAGGATTGTTTTCATGCCAATTGCTTCTCAGCGTGATGCCGTAAAGACATTAATTCATTCAACTAGCCTTTGTCAAAAATAACTTACTTTGACTTTTAATACCAACTGTATCATCTCGGACAACACAAACTAAAAGTAGTGTACTTTTCAGTATCTATCCATCTATTGCTTTAAGCGGTTCTCATATTATACTCCAACAATGTCATCTCTCCTACAGAGACAGCCCACTACGTCAAAACCCCCACCACCATTAAAACCTAATCTAATGTAACTTATTGTAATTTTACCCTTCCCACACCTCAGCCTGGTAATGAGCTGCACGATATAAAAAGATCAAAAATAATTGGTAAACTTACTGAGGCACAGCAATGATAACAGACTGTTAAATATCATAACAGCTGTCATGACTGCTGTTCATTTCTGAGTGCCAATGAGAGTAATTTTGCGTAAAAGACACAGGGCAAAGACACAGCTCACACTTAAAAAACTGTAGTGGGACATGCTACCAAGACCTGGCATGGAACTGGAAATGAGTTTAAGAGGACAGAGAAAGACGCAGACACGGTTCACAACTGGTAACGTTTCCTCCTGATGTTGTTTACTTGTCTGGTCAGCAGATGGAGCTCTTGGATGGCAAGTGAGATGCACACAGCTCACAATGATTCAAAAGAGTCAACATGTTAAGAGCAGAAAGGGGTGAGTCGGAGCCCTATGACTCTTCATCATCCAGACTTCACTTTTATGAAACAGTATCGAGCCACAATGGCACAAAAAACGTGCTTACATCTGCTGAAACTGTCACCTCAGAAACTACTGAAAAGATGAGAGAAGAAAGAGAGACTAATATCATCAAGTTCACATGTGAATGGCTGGGTGATGATGATCGTTGACCTCAGAGGTGTTTGTACCTTGCTTTTAGCGGTGGACTGGTGAACATACAGAGAGTGAAAGCGCACGGGATGCCTAGAGAGCGCACTTATCAGGTGTGGTGTCGCTATTTGGCGCAGTGCAATGTGGGAGTGCGTTAAGGGGCAGAGGTGTTGCCATGGTGACAGGCTCTTGAAAGTAGGAGTAACAGAATGCGAATCGGCTTACCCTACCTCTACTCTAATCTTCACTGCCAGTGGGCAGAGAGACAACATTTGACCCGCAGTCGGTGCTTGAGAGCAGCTCCCACCCTTTCATAGCAGTGAGGCACAGGCATGCAAAGGAAGCCGATTGGAGAAGCAGAGAGTGGCTTGAGGATTTCAAGCATACTGAGAAGACGGGTTGGATTTAGCTTAGCTATAGCGGTGAGTGTAGCTCATCAAGGGGCGGGATGGGCAGATGAGGCGGTAGGGGAATGGGTGAAGAGGTTTTGGTAAAGGTTTGGAATTTCTTTTTTTTAAATATTTTTTTGAAAAGGAATTCTTACTCACCGGAAAGCTGTTGGACCCCAGGCTGATCGTGTGTGCTTAACAACTGGCTCTGAATCGTCTCCACTACTCGTTTAAAGCGTCGGCTGGGTCCTTCACAGAGACATAGATAAACACATGAATGCTGACATGGTAGACCTTTCATGGAAAACACTTACAGTTGTCTTGGTAGGTAAAGCAAAAGTAGCATAAATGATGTCTCTTTTCCATTAAGTGTGTGAGCAAACCATGACAGTAAACCAGAATGCACGAAAGCGGCACTTCTACGAGTTCAATGCTGCCATCAATAGATCTATTCTCTTCTGTGGCAAGTCATGGGGTGCTTTTCACTATGCTAACTTTTGCTTCCTTGCCTCCAACTCTCCTCCAGTGACTTGAAAATCATCGCCCCTTACATGCACCACAACGAGACAAGAAACAAGGAAGTTTATGGAAAGAATTAATATTCATTTTTGGTGTGATATATAGACAAACACATCAAATGCAACTGATGATAAGAATGTGCCCATACTTGCATGTGTCTTGTGCATACCTACTGAGAAGACCTAAAACACGTGATGGAGGGAGGGGGCATGTTATTATACTGAAAAACCCCTAAGAAGTCTGTTCAGGGATACAGAGTATCAGCAGCATGAACACAGCAGAACTTGTACAAATATATTGCATTAACCAAATAGATTTAAAGGTACTGGTTTTTGAAGGCAAAGCAAACAGGGATATGGACGTGGTGCAAAATGTGAGGTGGAAAACTGCAGAAAGCCTGAGATTATAAATGGGGGCCAGAGATGAGTGCTGCTGAGAGCTCCTGCTGTCTACCTGTTGTGTACAGTATATGGTCAGTGACATGAAGAACTGGCTTCTATTACAGCCCATTCAGCTCAGCTGTGACCCCATTTATGTGAAAGAGAAAGAGGAGAGTAAAAGAGAGCATGCAGGTGTTTGTGCAGAACTAAGCATTAACACACGGTTTCAGTGTGGAATTGTGCATAGCTTGACTTCAGTTTGCTAAATCTTATCAAGAATTCAGGATTTTAAAAAAATTATGTTTTTCATTAAGTTTAACACACCAACATGCTTTCGGGGGAAAAAAGACTTCAGGCTTGTTTGTTTGTTGAATATACATGACTCCATTAGTTTAAAGTGTGACATTCAAAGTGTTTCACTTGTCATTTGTGAGCTTGAATTTAAGGCTAATGAGATGGAGAGCCAGCTGCTCAAATGCCATAATAATACATGCATGTCTGTCCTCTGTGATCGGTTGAGATCCTTGGTTTGAACTTGACCGTTTCTTTCTTTCTTTCTTGGATTCCAGCTTTAAGTACAGAAGGAAGACTTAGTGTATTGAATTTTTAGAGAACTAATTCCTCCCTTGTATGCAACACAGTGTCTTTCAATACTGTTACAACACCTTCTCCATTGATTTTCAGTTCCACTGTTACTTCAAGTGCCCACAGATGATGTAAACTGAGACAAGTGTTAGTTCACACAAGCCACAAAGTTAAACCTAGTCTGCAATTCTGACAGGTCAGCTCATATCAGTTCCAGCCCACCATCGGCTGATTGTTCACATGACAGTCATTCATGTATTTTGCTTGCAAATCTCAAACAAGGCTGATTATTTAAGTTGCTTTAGCCTGCCTACAGTTGATACACATCTGCAACCCCACTCTACAAGATCTTCTCATTTTAATCCGGTACCTGACTTAATCAGCGTCATATCTGTTGTCACGGATGCTTTTCCACGTATCCTCACAGAAGTGTGGATACCAGAGCCGTACCACCAAATATACCGCTGGTGAACATTCTGCTTTTGATTCTAAAGGCCATGACTGTAATTTCCTGAACATGGACAGCCTTTCTTAAAAAAAAAAAAAAAGGGTAGAAGCAGGTGAAAATGTTGAGATGTTTTTATGATTGCTGAAGTATCCTAACCTGAGAGCAGGGTGAAGGTTACAGAGTAGATGCCATTCTCCTTAGTGGCAGCTGTGCTCTCTGTGTAGGTGATATCCACCTGAAATTTCACCGGCTTCTGGAAGACTGTGGGGCCGGCTGTTGACTTGTACTCTGCTCGAAAAGAGGTCTGAGAGATGACACTGTGGCTCAGGCTGGGAATCTGTGGGGGCAAAAAAGGAATTGTGAAAAGAAAATGTCAGAAAGAGGAAAAAAAAACAGGAATAAAAATAGGTAGCACAAAGACACGAGTAATGGGATTATGCATAGGAAGCACTGATGTTAAATTTTTCTCCCACACCTTGCAAATGACAAGGTGAATAAACCCTCATTAAAATACCCTCCACATAGTACGAGCCACATTTGAAACTCTAAGGAGATTAATGCCTCGGGGAGTAGCCATGCATGCCAGAGAGACTTAAGCTAATGTAATCTTGAGTCATCCAACAACATTGCACTCTCCCGCCTAAAATGAATTTGTATGCCCAATGAACAGGTGAGCCCTGAAATTGTCACGTTTTGCCATAGTGCTAGAGAGGGTTTGACATTCCATTAATGCCAGAGTGCTGAGAGGTATAATTCCACTGATTCAGGTGCCAATCTCCTGTCTGGAATACCAGCTAGCATAACCCAAAGGAAAATGCTTCCTCCAGGGATGAGGAAACAGATTTGACATTGACCCGCACCGGCAGAGTTTGTACACTTAGACTTTGTTAAATCTAACTGGGGTGAGGATAGGTTCTGTTCAATTATGTACTCTGAATATCAACGACCACTGCTTACTGTTTCTTGGTACTGATTCTGCTGCGCTTACTGAAAAACTAATACTGCCTTACATTTCTGCATGTATTTGTAGAACCACGCAATAATAAAGCACAACACACACACAGACACACACACACACACGCAATCTACGCTTTTTCTCACCCTGCACATCTAAATATACAAACACACATGCTCAGAGCACCGTATTGAGGGCAGGACATCTATATGCTAATGACCAAAGCTCAGTGTTGATTTTCTATTGACCTCAAGTGGGTCCACAGTCAAAGAGAAAATAGAAGCGGTGAATACAAGCAGTTTACTGGATTGCTACATAAATCAGCACCATGTTAGCAAACACTCAGAGCATGCCTGCCTCGTAGCAGAGCCAACATCCTGCATTAGAGAGCAAATACCCAGGTGATAAGCCTGCATTCATGCACAAACAGATACAGTGTCAGAGAGAGGTGGGGCACGCAGCAGATGGGAAAAGGGTCAGGGGTTCAGCAGAAGGGACAAAGGAAGAAATTAGCAAAAACGTGGTGTATCTACCGAGAGAAAGGCTTGAACGATGTCTGCCTTGATTGAGCTGAGAGGTTTGTCTTTGATGACAATGAAGATCTGTTCCTCTTTTTCCAGGTTGATGAAGTTACCAAACCAGGATTTTTTGGCAAGTCTGTGAGGAAAGAAAAGACCTTTAGCAGAATATAAGCCCAATGTTGTACACATACATCTTTATACAGCTGACCATTTTTGCAACCTTGTTTTAGTTCCCTATCAGTCTATTGATTCTGAGAAACAACCACCTCCCCACAGTTCTGTAGGGATTCAAAGGAGCAAACAGAGGATATTCCAGTGCATTGTGTATGAATGGATTTGAGGGGGGTGGGGTGAGATAACTGAGTCTCTCTGTGAACAGAAGGAGCAGAGGTAGATGAATTTACTATTGGCCTCAGCCCAGGTGCACTTCCAACCACTAGTAAGCCATATGGACTCCTGTTTTCTGGCATTAATATTAGATATAAGATTTATAATATTTAGCATTACATTTAAATCAATATAAATACCTAGTAAAATATGGAAACAAATGTAGATTAGCCGAAAGAGATGCACTGTTCTGCAGTAGGAGACTGACTACAGCTCACGTGACTGTATACTTCGGGCTGAGCTAAAACAGGGTCTCTCTCTGATCAATTTTCCAACTTCTTTCAGTTGGGAAATTCCTATCTAGCCAGGTGGAAATGACCAACCCAGACAGCAACCAGCCAACCAAACAGGCATATCTAGGCCAACCTTGAGTTATCAGGCCCATGGGAACTCAAAAGCATCACGCAGGCTCGTCCTGCCTCCCTCATAACCCACTCACTACCTCCTGCTACTGTCCTCTTTCCAACTCAGACCAGACCGGAGGTCATTACAAGTCGACTCAGCAGGCAAAAATCAAACATTCATAGATGTTACACTTTCCAAAACATCATCCTATCGAGAGGGAGCCTGTTTGAGCCAGTGGCTAAGGGGCTGAGAGGTTATGCATAGTTATGATAGCAGTGGTGCTTTCAAAATGGACAGCGTCTGCTTACTCTGGGGAAGACTCTGGTGTGAGGCTGGACATCTCCTCTTGTGTGGGAACTGTGGAAGTAGAGTTAGATGTCAGACGATTGAGAAAGACTTAAAATTGTCAAAAAGTATATTACGGTACAATGTACAGTAAAACCTTTGGGGAAAAACCAAGATTGTAGCATTAGTCAGCAATTTTTCATGTAAATCGGCTGAAATCTACCTTGGAGTTTCCTGCGATGGAAACGTGGTGAGCCCAGGAAGCTGTTCTTGATGGAGTTGAGGCGCGTCCTCCAAGGCATGCCTCCAATAGAGGGGCTTGGGGGCGGTGTTGGAGTAGGTGTCCCAGCTGGGCTGTCCTTGGGAGTGTGCACTGGGGTGCCCTTTGGGGTGGGGAGGGGGCTGCCTCGAGGGGAAGGGTGAGGGGTAACCTGTATGAGGGGGATAGATTTGGGTGGGTGGTCAGTAAATGGAGAAGGGGCTGGTGCTACAGGGTGAAAATGGTGCAGCCTGATTGGTGACAGGGGCAACACAGGGCTAAAGGGCACAGAGAGTTGGGGGTTGGCAGCATAATGAGCTCGTCGTACTTGGGGGCTGTTTAAGATGGTAGCACTGGCGATGGAGGATGAGGAAAACGGGGAGGATGGGGAAGATGGAGAAGTAGGGGTAGGAGGCACAGAGGCAGAGGGTGGCTGTGATGGAAGCTGGCAGGGAGTGGAGGATTCTGATTTGGCTGCAGGTTCTGGATCAAGGGTGGTTTCAGGAAGTGGGTTTGATCGTGTGGCTTGGAGGGGCTTTGGGACAGTTTTGGACTTGGCAGGGAGCGTCTGTGTCTTGTTGAGTGCTTCTGGCAGGGGCTCACTGTTTGGAGCGAGCGAATTGGGGGTGGAGATACGCTGGCCTGCGCGATTTGGAACGGGCTCAGGGGATGGACAGGGACTGGTGTTAGGGGACGGGGACAAGTCTGGGGACTGAGGTGGTACACCAAACTTTCTGACAGGCTAGATTAAAAGAATAACACAGCCAAGAGGAAGAAGAGGTGTAAAACAAAAAGACAACAAAATAAACAAACAGAAAACACACACAAGAATGCATGCAAGTACACAAACACACAAAGCAAAGGGAAGGGAAGGGAAGGGCAAACCACCACACAGGTAAAGGAAGAAGTAGCCAAAGGATTTGGAGGCAGGTAACAAGTGCACACATATAGGAAAGATGGAGGAATTGCAACAACAAAAAAGAGAGAAAGAAAACATGGTAAAGACCATTCAGTGACTCATGTCAAAGCAAAGCAAAACAAAAATGAAATGGGAATAACAATACCAGCAAACAATGTGCTCACTTTAAAAAAATCCAAACAAAACACAAAAAGACAGACTTTATTTGCATAAAACATACAAGGCATTCCCAGCAGAGACAAGCAAGCAAACACAAACACACGAGAGAGACAAAAGGCCAATTGGGCTGTCTCAAAAACAAGTGGAAGGTGGCAACTCTGCAGTCAAATTTCCTGATTATTTATTGATGTACTGATTTTGCATGGTTCATTTGCACTCACACTGGTTCAATATTTGCCTTCAACACATTCCTGTCTTCCAGAAGCTAAGTCTGAGAAAATAACCCCACACAGAGCTTCTTGCTGAGAACACAATCCAGGCTTTGGGTGGGTTTGAGAAATCAATTTCCCTTTCAGATAAGCCTGCAAGAACCTGTGTGGTGAGGAGCTCGTCTTAGGATCCTGGCTAATCTGGAGCCTTCTCAGGTTAGTCAGCTGGAAAAGTTTACTACAAGCTCCCCAGCTTTGAGCAAAGGAAAGTGGGATTTTCTGAAGCATTCCCTGAGCTGGATTTCCAAAGAGCTCAGGCCATAGAAAACAGAGAGAAGGATAATAAGTGCAGAGGATGGAGAGAGAAGAGGCTTTGTGGGGTGGAGAAAGTTTTCTGTGCTGTCATGCCTCCTGTGTGCATTCAGCAGTGGGTTTTACTTAGCATTAACAGAAACATCTAAGCTATATGGACACACAGGAAGCCCTGATATGATACAGGATATGAAAAGGTAATCAAAATGGACCTATACTTTCTCAAAACACAAAGGTAGATTCTTCAAGGCTGATAAATGTTTATATAACGGTAAAACAGATTGGTGGAAAAATATTGCTGTGCAGAGAAATATTGTAGTGTGTGTGTGTGTGTGTGTGTGTGTGTGTGTGTGTGTGTGTGTGTGTGTGTGTGTGTGTGTGTGCTTCTTTCATGGTCAGAAAAAAGAATATTGCTTTATTTTCTATTGCTGACATAATATGACATCAATAAAATGTGATCAGCAGTAGTTGGTTGGCCATTATCCCAGAAGGTTAACAACTAGTTATTTAAGAACTGGGTCAAGAGGTGTGTGTTTTATGTGTGTGCGTGTTTGGATGTGAACTCAGGATTACGACTCACCCGTGGGCTGCTGAGCGGGCTGGTGGAGAGACCAGAGGAGGCTCCACTAATAGACCGCGACCTGTGGTACAAACATGTGAGAACACACAGGAGAACAGTAATTTGTGGTATCAACACATGACCTGTTATGTGTTTGAATGAACACAGGTGGGGGTGAACGCTTGGTTACTTGTTACACGTTATTTAGAAAGTGGAGCAGCATATGGAGCTGTCATACTAAGCACACGGGTTACTATCAAGCCCCCTGCAAACACAACACCTACCACACAAATGGGGTACATGTATCACAACACAGTAACAGCACTGAGGTAAAAACTACTACCAGCAATTAATCTCACTCAAAAGTCAGTTTAACAGATATTGATTTGACAAATTTAAACTTCCCACACACTAGGACTCAATCTAGCTTTAAGCCACATTTAAAGTTTGATAATAAACCAATCATTCTGACTTCTTAAGCCTTTAGGCCATGAAACTATCTCGAGAGGGAGAATGAAGAGAGACATTTGGTTGAGCGCCATTTGTCATGTTTGTCTTTTCCCTCGCAGATGCCGTCAATAACCCCTATGAGCGGAGTCCTGTTCAGAAATGAACAATCACAGCACAATCTGTCTTCATCAAGCACGCACGTACACATGTACACACACAGACACACACGCACACCCAAAAACAACGCCTGTCAACACTTGGAAACACCAGCTGCTCACTGTCACAACACTGTTCTTTTTTGTCATTCAATCTAATCATACCCCTCTTCCTTCTCTCCCCCCACTTTCTCTTTTTATGTCAGCATGGGTGCATTTATTAATGTATGTCTGTAGCTATAGATCTTTTATCTCTGCTTGAATAAAGGAAGAGATAAAAAGCAGTGACTACTTCTTTTTAAACTACCTGATTGAAGAAGATCTCATGAACAAACTTGAGAAGAGACTGAGATCATTTAAAAGTAAAAAGGGAGGATGGATGGAAAAATAAAGAGTGTGTGGAGTAACAGGGCCATATGCTCACTTCTAATGCTGGAAGCATTCCCACAAGACCACACGGCATTCGAGGAGGCAAAAACTAAAAATGATTATGGCTATCAGCCTAAAAAATGATAATACTGTTATAACAACTGCAACAGCCATAATCATACTCCTGAGAGTAAACAAAGCAGAATAAGGAACATTAAAAGATACCAAGAAAGTGAGGGAAATTTAGAAACACCCACTGGCGAGCTATTTTTATAAGTTTACCGCTCCCCTTCTACAAATTTATTTAGTGCACACATCCTTTTACACATGAGTAGGCGTGCCGAGACCATGCTGGCAAGGATTTCCTGTTTCATGGAACAACTGACCAGACAGTTGGTATCATTTACATTTAAGTCCTACAATCCACTGAGACATGGCCACAGTTGCTCACTGCAGCACTTGTGACCATGTAGCCAACTGAACTTCATTTAAACATGGCCAAAACACAACGTCCTCCGGCCATTATGAGCATATTGTTAGGAGCACTCTGCATCTGTTAGTGTTGGACCAGAAGGCCTATAAAGCTAATGTTGCAGATGGTTATGCTGTACAGTAATAGGCTGTCAGAGGCTCAACCTTGCTTCAGAGAGAGGATAAAATGTTGTTGTTCAGTGCTTTATTTATAGGGAACAGCATACACAAGGAGGGAGTCATTTATCATGTATCACAGAAACCACAAGCCCACATTATTAAACCTGCACTGGAGACAACATTGTAGCAAGCTAGCTACTCTACTCTCGAGCTACTCTGTGCTTGTGTGCTCACTATGTTTACATGCACATACAGTATCCTGGATTTATTTTTGGAATATTCTGGCTATGTAGCGCACATGTAAAGGCCATGCTGCAACAAATCTTGAACCCTCCCAGTTGACTGTTATTATAATTATTCTTTTAAATCATTTTTAGCGCTTTTTGCTTTGCCCTTGGACATCATTTGCAGTAAGCTGGCTACTGATTGGTTACCCCTCTTTGCTATAACATGTATTCTGTGGGCGTTATCACGTGAATTTCATTTAGCTTAGCTTGCTTTACTGTAGCTGCTTGTTGGTAGCTGTGAACATGGCAAATTTATCCTGATACTACATGAGCCTCATCATTGCCAAGTCACTCAAAGGACTCCTCCCCTGACAGGTTACCTTCTTATCAAGGGAGGAATACTGACCAGCCTGATGCTGAACATACCAATTCCAAGAAATCTTACAGCTAAATATTCCAGGGCCAAGATCACTGATAAAGGGGTTCCTTTTCAGCAATATATCCAGTAGCACAGTAAATTCTCTAGATTTACTGGGTCAGTTTGGCCTCTCTTATATTCTGCCATTCTGTTCTTAGCTGCTGGGTGACAAGGCGAGAGAAGAGAGTCATCTTTCCAATGCTGACAACAACCAACTAAGCTTCCCGCTGTGTCTACAATCAGAAGTTGTAACTACAACTATGGATCTCTGACTTTGTCTTGAGTACAGGAAGCTGATGGCATCGTTCCCAGTAAAGTGCATGTTCACTGTCATGACTATCAATGGACCCGTACATCAAGAGCTAGAGTCATAACTAATGTTACTCTTTTCTGCTCAGATACAAACTTGATAAATGCGGAATGTGAAGACTTAATACCCAGACTTTTGTGTCTGTGTAAGAATATTGGTGCATGCAGTGTTTAACAGAGACATGGTCTCTGGAAATACCCATTGCTATTTGTGGACAATAATACGGCACATGTACTGAACTAGAAGATGTTTTTCTTTTCTTTTTTGGGTTGTTGTTGATGCAATTTTGATACCTATTATGGTAGTTCTCTTATTTAGTAGTCATTAATTCCCATAAGCCTATTTTCAAACAGGACCCATGTCCTCAGTATGTGACCGCCAGTTGTCAGAAACCCATCCAAAGCGCCTGGGGAACTAACGTGTGGCTGCGGGGGGGTGGAACAAGTATAACAGATTCTGGGTTGAAGGCATGGACTGAAATAAAACAAAATGCAAGAAAAATAAAATGGATGGTGCCAAGAGCCAAACAGAAAATGAACAACACTGCCAAAGCACAATACGACTGAGATACATATTCCCTTTCTAGCACCTCTATATTGGCTGCTTCTTACCAATGGGCCTCTTTTTACACATAGTAAGTATTCATATAAATCCACAAACTGTTTGAAATCATTTGCTTCTTTGAACCTCAACAAGTCCCTGCAGACTCAGTGCATTAATATTTACAGCTCAGTTCCTTAAATGTCTAAATATAGCAAGACCTCTGCAGTTTCTGTAGTAAAGATCACAGTTTAAGGTGTTTTATTTGTGCTTATTGTAGTCTCTTAAATAAATTAATGTCAGTAATTAGCAGGCGAGCTGACTTCTTACGACTGCTCTGACTACTCCACATTCAAACTGCGTGAAGCAACTAGAGCAAATCTCTAATAAAAAAAAAAATCAATTGATATTCTCTCCTCCTCGCTGCAGCACTTTTCCATATTTCATTTACATATCATTAACCTCCCTTCATTTCTCCTGGCGTGTTGTTAAGATTTAAAATTAAATCAGTGGATTTCTTATGCTTTGAGTTAAGCTTTAAATGTCTTTTTAAGTGACATTTTTGCATAGAAAGATTGAAACGGACATTCACATGAGAAAGTCTCCATGTGCATTACTGCACAACATAGCTACCGCACCTTTATTCCAACATCCGTACTTCATAGGAGCAATCGAATTAACAATCATTTGTATGAAACTAAAGTGAGGGCTGATACTCTGAATGTAACTACGTGATAAATGAGAGGCAAAATGCCTGATAAAGGACAGGAATTCAGACATTTTTGTTATGCAATTTCAGATCAAGCTGTTTCCCCCTCTCTTTCACTATTTACGCTGGTGGAAATGTATCCTGTCAAAACACATGTTTCAAAGTCAGTCCGCTCTCTGAGGCCCTCTGATCTGAAGTTCTATGAATCTTCTGCGCTGTCGACAAAAGTTTGCTGTTGAGGAAAGATAAGGTTAGGTTCAGACAAAGTCACTTAAATCTTTGGACGTTATTCTGCTACGTACGCGCTTCCCCAGCACCATCGTCTATCCACGCACATGCAAGCAAGCACATGATCAAACACAGTGTGCACAAGGACGTGATAAAAGCCAGAAAAGTTTGAAAAACACACACAAGCGCACACACCAAAATCAAGATTCACACAGACTTTGTTACTAACTTCTTTTCCCCCTACTGATCAGATGGATAGTTATGGATTGCAGTAGGGGGGAAAGACATGTATAGCAGGAGAGCAAGATTTGATTTGATTTGGAGGCAGAGGGCCTGTGGCATACCTACAATCTACCACAGCCGATAGGAAGGCAGACAGAGAAAAACTAGCAGCATGTCCTCATTAGCATAGCAATTCCATACTAACAGAGGGGGGTGTTTGGGATTGAAGGTCAGCAGCACACAAGGAACCCACAGGAAAGATAGAGACAGTGGCGATATACAAGAGTGGCGCGGTGCCCTGGAAGAAATTTGGGTATAGGGAAAAGAGCAAACAAACTGATCTGAAGCTGTATTGAAGAAAGATGCAGCAGAGCTGTTTTTGTTGACTGGAGCTGCTGATATGCAAGTTTGAGACGCAAACATTGTCCCCATAAAATCGACTTTTAGAGCCCCTTTCTAATTCACACTATTCAAGATGTGTGTCATCACCAATCGAATTAATGTTAGCAGGCTATTATTAATGGTTTATCCAGTCAGTGCAAACTGGCCTTTTTTGGGATTCTAGTTATGACTTGAAATGAGATGAGTCAGAGTGAAGGGCAGAAAAAGGCAGCTACTAAACTAAGTCAACCTTTAAATAAAGAAGAGATAAGACATGGGCCGCCTGAAGGGATGAAGAGGCACAGCAGAAGTGAAGAAACAAAAGAGGATGAATCTTAAACTAGAATTTGGAGGCACCAGCAGACAGAAGGAACAAAAGCACACATGTTTAGAAGTGGGAGCTCTTGAAACGGATTCAAAACTTCTCAAGTGGGTTCCCTCGGTGAAATGGTACGAATCAAATTCTTGATATTTTGTTGTTGGCAAAGCACTATGGAGAAAAGTTATTAATGCACCTGACATTTGAAGAACTTAACTTTAGGACTGCATTTTTTATTCTATATAATAAATGCACTCCCCACCTCTCCATTTATGCTCTGTATCTCTGAAAGCTTTTTCCAGCACTCTGCCAATCTGACTATCATTAGGCAGATCAGGTTATCATCCCCTCAGATTCAATCTTCCCCGCTGTCACAAATGTCACTGCCTCTGAGCACAAATGTGTGGTGTGGCGATATATTGGTTGTTCAAATAAGATGAAGAGAAGGATTTTAAATCAGTCCGCTGTGCCTTGTGGGGGTGTGGTTCCGGCATTTCTAAAATAGAGAAATGGAAAATTGTTCTGCAACTAGAGAAAGTGGGACACAGCATAGGACAAGTGATTATCAGTGCATTCAGATTACGAAACGAAGAGATAATTGAGCTAACGGCAGAATGGAGGGGTGGGGGTAGAAATATTTAGCCTCTGAATTGCAAATGCAGTTTTCCCTGGTTTGAGATGAAACTTAATTAAAAGAGTTAAGTTAAACTTCAGAAGAAAAGCATTAGTGTTACTTCACGCCGACTACAGAGTCAAGCTCAGACAATTCCGGTTCAGCTGGGCTCAATACAAGTTGACATCAGCTGATAGCTCAGCTCGCCTAGCTACACATGCAATTAGCAAACCTCACACAGGGTGTGCTATTTAGGCTGCTGTAAACGGGCTAAACCCCAGCCTATGCTTTCAGTCTCATATCTCGTAACTGCCTCTGTTTTTGCACCTATGTGTAAGGAGCCATGCATACTGTGGATTAAATAACCATCTAAACTGCTACTAAACTACAAGACATGTGAAGCAACCACAACAAGCAACATATGCCATCATCATTTAAAAACAAAGATTTGACTAGAAAAAGCCATGCTGCATCTTTCTTTTGCCTGAATAAGTGAGACAGAGAGGGGAGAGGTAAAAGCGTGAGGGGTGAGTGGCAAATGAGTACCTTTCTTCTTTGCTGCATTTTGTACTGGCATCAGGAATATCCAAGCTTTTACTGTAAACTGATTTACTAGTGAGACAGGAGATAAAGTGAGCAGAGAGTCAGTCTCTGTTTATGTTTGTCTACAATGCAGCCTGCTGACACTGGATCCAGACTCACTGTCAGAGCTGTAAAAACACCACAGGGCTGCTAGATCCTCCTCACACACAAACGCAGGACAAGGTCTGTCTTTACTGGTTTATTTAAAAAGGTATTGATTTTAAAAAAAAAGAAAAAAAAAGAGAGAGTTTTTCTCCTCACTTCTGCGCGTACCTTTGTCCATGCTGTGTCATATCGATAGCCCTCCTGGCCGGGACAGGTGAGCCTCCGTCCGTGACACTGAGGACCTCCATGGACTTCCTCTCTGGTCTCCTCTTGCCATGACGATTCAACATGGGAGAGTCCACTCTCTTCCTCGGAGGATCTGTGTGTGACAGAAAAAGACATGGTGATTTGGAATAAATGCAAAGCATTTGTGCTGCTCAGTTTTGTGTATATGTGAGGGTTTGAGTGATGTTTAGGGCTGATCGCAATGACATTTTAACTAATAGTGAATAAGTAATGGTTTCCTCCCAGACCTTGAACTAATGGCCACTGTATTGACTGTATCACATTCACTGAAGAGGGAGTCTATTCATCAAGATGTCGGTATCTCAGAGCAGTTACTCACATACACACATTTGCACGTAATACTCCCGTTTCAGTGTTCTTGTCAGAAAATAACCCTGGCAGACGTCTAAGCAGAGCATCTCCGTCTCTACTCAGACTTCTGTGGGTGGAAATCTGTGCTTGGTTGCGGTGTACGGATGATAGAATATCTTTTCTTTTTTTGAAGAGCTAATATCTGAGCCAAAGCAGTTGGGGGGGTGACAGTTTTAAAAAAAAAAAAAAACAAAACTTCTCTGCCCTATTGACACCTATTTCTGCTACTACATTTCATTGAAAAGCTTATTTATTTTCAATAAGCAGAATGCTTTTTCTACTGCAGAGCCAATCCACCGCTACTGGAGCCGATCCAATTTCTTCTTAACAGAGGAAAACACTGCAGAATCGTTCAGAAACTGGGAGCATTCATGAGTTACCTTTTTGTAGTGCTTAGTATTGTGCAAATTGAATGGTTTTGTTTGTGTAAACAGTAGTCAAATCCATGACTAGTTTAAAAAAATCATTAAAAAACAGGCACGATTCTTACATGGTGGTACAGTTCATACGTACTGTGTGTCATATTGTGGTTTAGCTTTCTGAGTTGTTCTTTTTTAAAAGAATATCATTTTCTAATGTTACACTCTTTATGAACAATTCTCTCGTTGTTCCAGGGCTCACCAATCTCATTGCGAGGGGGAAGATTCTGGTCCTCCTGACTAGGGTACCTCTCCTTTCGATCCAATAGCAAGAAGTAGATCATCTTCTCTTGGTTGTCACTGCAAAAAGGTGGCAGTAAAAAGACTACTGAAATGTCAGGAAAAGTAAAAATACTTAATTAATTCCTACACAACCATGCGTATAATTAGATACCTAGGGTGTGTAGGGGAAAAAAAGTACTCATACCATATCAAACTGTAAAATCCCTCACTATGATTAATGTTCTATAATCTTTTGGGATTCTTTGTGAAGCACCAATAAATATCTCTCATCATTAAAACAAAAGTTTAGTTTTACAGATCATTAAGCCGTCGTGTAATAATATGCATGCATTTTTTAAGACGCGGCACATCTCTATATGCAGAGTCGACTGGTAAGTTTATGAAAGTCTCAAAACATTACGAGTTCAACCTTTTCTTTCTCAGTAAATCAGGAAGCCTAATATCTTTAGCCTCTAGGCCAATATTCTCTATGCAAAATTCCCAGGGACTGGCCCTCTATAATAAAGACAGATTGGAAAGCAGTAGGAGGCAAAGAGACAAGGACCTGCAACTTCAGCTAAAATGAAACAGGGGAAGGGAGATAGAGACCACAGATTTTCCTCCAGTCCAGCACTATTACGAGATCCTCCCAGGAGAAAGGAAGAAAATGGAAGGGATGGGTAGAGGGCACAGTGATGGAGTAATGCTTGCTTAGCATTAAAGTGGAGAGGATAGGCAAATGTAAAATAGTGGTAAAGGAGGAAAAGGAAACAAAGAAAAACTGCAACATCTGCACACTGGACACACATTGATAACAAACAACTGTATGAAAGTCAAGGACAGCATTTATACGCACACACACACACAGTAGAGAAAAATATTAGAAACTGCAACTGAGACACAAATATTAAAAGCAGAACAACAACAATTTGACCCATGAGCATGTTCACAGTGGAAACCAGGATCAGTTTAAAGGGAATGTATCTGGTGGCAAACGGTGTAAGCGCTGTGTGATAACAATTAAGTGATCTATGGCTTCTGACATCTAAAGCGACAGCCTAGCAGGATTTTACAGGAGCTGGGGAAAACCAAGGCTGAGTGAGCACACAGACACAACACACCTATCCTTTCATTGCAGTGCTCTCTTCCTTTATCAAAACAACCACCAATCCCCATTCTCTTTTTTCTCCTTCGTACTACTGTCTGCTGTACAGCCATTTACTCACTCATCTGAGAGCAGGTCTTTCAGTAATTTGTTTTTGTCTCTGAAGCAGCCCAAAGAGTGCATGCTGTCCAGTACGTCGGGGTCGATATCTTCTGCAGAGGGCAGGCTGCGGATGGTCACCTTCCTGGGAACTGGCTGCTCTGGCTCTGGTTCATTTTTGCCTCCTCTGTTAATACAAAGACATTCAAAAAGAAATAAGGACAATATCAGTGGGTTTGGTTGCTACTGCTACTAATTTTCAGTCATTTAATTTGGTTTTTTCATATAGAAACTTGCATTTGGAACACAATTGTGTAAAATCGTAGAAGTACAAACTTTAATATGACCTTTTGTGTCAGTATGACTTTAGTTTATATTAAGAGACTTTTAAAGTCACAGGTTTTCCTCAGGTGTAGGCACTTTTGCATGTTCCAGAGGGTGATTGTGTCAGCAGGATTCAGGCAGATGACTTAGTCATGCTGTTATATTCAGCAACCTGCCTCTTCTACTCTGGCGTGATTTCTAAATGTAGTTTCTTCATTATTATTATTATTAGATTAATTTATGTCACCTTTTTCTGCTGTTTTTTTTTACATGCACACACACATTTATATTCTTTAGGACTGAAATAAAAGGTTATACTGCACAGTCCATTTTCACAAAGATTTCTATAATACTCTAGATGTTTCTTTCACACACAAATCTACTACTTCTGCAAATGCGCCAATGCATAGAAGTTATTACAGAGACCGATTTGAACTCACACACTTCCACTTTTTACCTCCCTAAATCTATTATTTTTCCTTCAGTGAACCCAGTGAAGCATAAACCTCACTGGCAGCTATTGAAATGACACAGACCTCCACTTTTCTATATGCTGTGAACTTGTGAACCAGACCTACATTGATTGTTCACCCCACATAACCACCAACACTCCTGTTTCAGTATGTGCATATAAATTCGGGTGGTAAGGGTAATGAAAAAGAAATCTAAATATATAACAGTCCAACTTCAATAAATCAAGTCTTCACGAGGACTTATAATGTCGACCCACGGGTGAAACTGTTACTTAAGTTTTGATTTATATGGAAAGCCGGTGAGGTCATAATTCGCCGCATTCTCCCTGCTATTCAATGTTTTACTATCACCAGCTGGCTGACTCTTCTGGCAAAATAAACAATCCCCTCAAAACAGGTTTATCTGTGCTCAAAAATCAAACATTTCTTTCTTTTTAACATCCCACAGTTAGAAAAAATGAAAGCACCACTAAGCATACTTTAGACAGACGTCAAAACATGAAAATCTGTGGTCATATCATATGGCTCCAGAAAAAACAAATCATCCACAACTAAGGAACATGGTTTAAATAGTCCATTTACCCTTTTTCCATTTTAACTGCTTATCCAATTTGGGTTCAAAGAGAGTACACCATGAACAAGTGACCAGTCCTTCACTGGGCTAACACAGACAATCGCACACTTTCACAGGCACACCAATTATCCTAGAAAAATCTGGAATCTTTGTGCTGTGAGACAGCAATGCTAACCACTGCACCACCACGCAACCTTCAGTGTTGATACTGCATACTGCAAGTACCATGTATGTCATGCAGTCCTCCCCCTCCACCATATCTTGACCTCATCCAGGTTGTCCCGGGCATCTTGTCCAAAATCTCTACCAGCCATTTGCTCACTGTGCACCATCACCCTCGCCAGCATCTTAATGCCTCCTACCTTCATGTGTGATTCTGAGGTTCCTTCTCATTAGCCTCATTTGCCTGTCTGTACCCAGCACACAGTCTCTGACATGACTTTAGATTCCTTCTGAAATGGTACTGTGTATGCTTACTCGGCAGAGTTTGGGGCCGTGGTCAGTGGCGGAAAGGTTGGAATTGTCTCCAATTCTGTTTTTCTGCATTTCAGTGCATTTTTATCAAGGATAATGTCAACAATATGAGCCCCTTTCTGTCAGAACATAAGAAGCACATAAGAGTCATCCCTGGTCTGCATTCAGCCACGAAACCATACATGAGCTACATGCATGATCACTGGCTTTTACATTTTGTCTGTCTTGCCTAATTTTCATTCTTTGAATGCAAGTTGTATTTATTTAGGTGAAAATTGTTTCATTTATTGCTAAAAGAGTGACTGATTCAATAAAGATCTTAAGGACACTAACCATTTGGTTCAGTAAACAGGAATAAGTTCTTTAGAAATTGAAAAAAGTGAAAAATGCTTAATATCAGAGAGAATAAGGCTACGTTCACACTGCAGGTCTTAATGCTCAATTCCGATTTTTTGATCAAATCCGATTTTTTTGTCTGCTCGTTCACACTACAAATAAAATGCGACAGCAAACGCTCTCTAGTGTGAACGCTCAAAGCGGCCCGCATGCGCAAAAGAAGACATCATACACAACGCGCTCTGTTTAGACCCAGAACAAACTATATTGTTTGACTGATGGCCTTAATATAAAGACTTCGGACTTCATGTTTCCCGATTTTTGCTTTAAGTTATTTTGTTATTTACATAATAATGTAGATAACCTAATAATGATCCTTATTGCTGTTTTAGAGGAGCGGTGCTTCAAAGGATAGTTGTAGATTTCTGTCAGAACCTGCAGGTTATGCAGTACAAATAAAATGTTCACGTTTCTCCAACGTTGTCTTCCCAGCAGTTTCACCGGATGGCCAGGAAGCGTTCGCGATGTCTTCTCTGGCGCTGATAATTGGCGTCTGTCTTGTGTCAGTGACGTAAAAGACGGATTTAATGCGGCTTGACCGTTCACACAGCAGTCGCTTTCTGAGACATCGGATATGTATGTATCAGTGCCACATACGAAAGTGACCCAGATCGGATTTGAAAATATCGGATTTGTGCCGTTCACACTGTCACACCATGATCGGATATGGGTCGCATATGGTCAAAAAAAAATCGGATTTGATGCGCTTTCGCCTGCAGTGTGAACGTAGCCTAAGATGATTTTTAACTTTGCCAGCTTTTCACAGTTTCTACTTCATGGCAATTTTTTATGGCTGTAGTTTGAATTATATATATATATATAATTATATATAGAGGTTGAATTATACTAATGTTTCTGCAACTGTTTATATAAACAATCAGTTTTACAACCTTTCTTATATAGGACTTAACTGTTTTCGTGGGACACTTAGTTTCAGAAAGTTAACTAAACTATCTGTTTGGCCTGGCACTGCGTTCTTCATCATCACAGCTCCAGGCAAGTGTGCTGAAAGATTGTTGGAACAATCACCATCTAAAAATACAGGGTTGATGGCTTTATTCAATTTTGTGTCAAAAGTTTTTCTTTTTGTGATTTTGACATGTTTTTTTATTTTATTTTATTATGTTTTTACATCACAGATGAGTTGCCTGTGGAAAATGACCACATTTGTCAGACAAATGTCACCTCTCATTCATTCATTTATAAGTTCATTCATTCAGCCAGTCACTTGACAAGCCAGCCTGCCGTGCAGAGACAGATAGCATGGCAACTTCCTCACTGACAAAACTCATACTACATTAGTCTTCTTGCCTAGCTCTTGTCTCCTCTTGTTTCTTATATCAGTCTTCCTGTGTTTACATGATCTTTCAGTACAGGACAGAAACCATAACTCAGCCCCTTCCAAGATGCAGACTCTCCTCTGATGATTCATCGTTGGTATTGCATTGCCAAAAGCAATCCTCAAACCTACTGGTAAATGTTTTTAATACTTAACAAAACACTTGTAAATTATTAAAATCTATTATAAGAACACTGTTATGAGAAAAATAAATAAATCTCATGATAATGGAGAGCATATTTGAAGACGTAAACACTTTAAATCGTGGATACAGATAAGTAGGATGCTCAAAGACACCCCCTTAAAAACTGATTTTCTCTTCTATTGAATGGTGTTGTTATTAAGTCAAGACCTACAGGGCTTTATACACCTTCACAAATTAAGATCATGGATGACAAGGAGGTTAAGTAAATTCTTCCACTTGATCACTTTTCACTTTAATCAAGTAGTGTAAATTTAAAAACAGTGTAATTTTCAAAAGAGACTGACCGCACACAAAAAACTACAGTGTGGAACTACAGTGAAACAGAGACAGTTGTTTGAATGATGTTCCAGGAAAAGCCAATGTTGTCAATTTATAGCAAATCTACGGATCGATAATGGCCAAACCGGTAACAACTAGGCCCCTTTTTGAATAATGTGCTCTGAATGGAAAGCTATAAGATAGAGACACAACTGGAGCCTTTAGTAGAAGAGCCTCATGCATACTCTATTTGTGTATTCATATCTCTAGCATTTATTAATTTGTTTTCCTAGTTAATAAACTCGTTTATTTACAAGTGTACAATAAATTATCTCAAAATATTTGTTAGCCTAAAAAGGTTGGTACACCCCTTTCGGCATGTCAAACGCTGGGTACACTGAGGTTAGCTGGGTTCAGTCTAGTTTTCATCATCTCGGTTCCTGCTGCCCTGCTCTCTGTTCAGCTGACCATATGCCTCACATCCTCTTTCACGCACTACCAATTTACCCCCACAGCCTGGAGTCGTGCCCTGCTTAAATGTACTCTTGTGTACAGAGCTGGAACTCAAAGTCATTTTTCATGTGCCAGCTCCCTTCAGGTTTACAAGCCCTGCAGAATAGCTGAAGGGAGGACAGGAGTGTAAACATAAAGAAAACAAAACAAAACAGAGGACTACTTACATGTACCATGTGTGCTTCTGGATCTGTTCTAACTGGAGAAGTAACGAGAAAAGAAAAAATGAAGATCAGTTCACAAAATGCAATTCACTGGAAAATAGTATCATGTTGTTGACAAGAGAATAAAACGATAAACGAAGGTATAGAAATTGTTGGCACATTAAAACGCCAGTAAGTATTGAACTTACGAAGTTTCAAGGAAATAAAACAGAGACAAAACAGGCAGGTTAAGGTGTGGAAGTAAATAATGAGACCTTCAAATGTTAAGACTGCCAATGGAAAAAAAAACATATTGAGGAAAAGGAGAGAAAGGTTCAGCAAAGGCAAAAAGAGGAAGGTGATACAACTGAGCTAAACACAGAATATTATCTCCCTCACACATGCAGCTGACCCTGCCAAGCCCTCTGGTCTGAAGGGAATCTCCTATTCTCATCCTCTTCCCATTTCACTGACTCACACACTCACTTTTTTTAATACTACCCTTGTCATCGCACATCTAGAGTGGCCACTTTGTCACCAACCCTGTCAGCGTAGTCTTTTGTCAAAAAAGGAAAAGCAGAAAGAGAGGAACAGCGGGCAAAATAGCAACAAAGGAAGATGTCTGCTAGAATGACTCCACGGTGTTTCAACTGCCCACAGAAGGAAAGCGGATCAATGTCACTGCTGGGACTTTTTAATTTGCTCAAGCTGTTGTTGTGGAACCACAGGAGATACACATGACAGCTCTAATTATTGTCACTTATTCAGATGCATAGTTCTCGTGTCAGTGTCTCCATCAATGTCTTGATGTTACCACTTCCCTAGAGAATTTACCTCTGTGCTTCAGCACCGATGCATGCCTTCCTGAGATGTTAGTGCAATCACAGAGCCGAGAAGACTGTGGTTACTGACTATAGGTGACTCTACCACAGAGGTCGTGATATTGACAAGGACACCCTGCCAGTCAGATAGAGACTAGTGGGTGACCTACTCTGTCCGACTTTTATTGAAGGCCTGGAGGCAAGAGTCTTGTATCTCACACAGGGTTGAAAGTGATGTGGTTTGAAACGTAGAATCACATCAATCAGTTTCTAAATGTGTCACTACTGATTCCAGCTGCTTTCAGGCAGAAGAGATGCTGTATAATACTGGCTGAGAATGCTCTGTCCACATCGAGGTATATATTTATCAAGGTGCTGCATATGTGATTCTCAGCTTACTTGTGTTTGTAGGTCTGTAAGCAGAAAGAACAGTCACATGGCTGTTCAGTGGAGGAAGGACCACAATCCGTGTTTACAGTAGAGACTTACTCTGTTGTTTCAAGTCATAATATACAGAAACACATAAAGTCAGATGTATAAGTATTTGAAAACTGTGTAACTGAAAGATGTGCTCGAAGTTAAAACTTTCAGCTGTGATTCAAGGGATTTAACAAAAGATTTAATCCTTCTAGTTTCACAGGCTCCAAACTAATTGCATAATTTAATGATAAGCAGTCATGTTACGGCCATGAATCAAAGAATTCCAGCTGAATGTTTTTAGCAACAAAATTACCAAGGTTGTGTCACTGCCTAAATACTTACAGACTTTATTCAATTAAATAGACAGTTAAGAACAGCTTTTACACAATGAACAAACATTGAATTAACCTCCTAAGACCCAAACTCTTTCATGGCATGCATTTTTAATTTCTCTTTGCTATTTGGGGCGACTGGGACCTGATGAATGTAAAAAGAAAGAATTACGTAGAATATATAAAACATATAATATGTACGTCCTGCTCGTACTCGATTGAACCCCATGTGACCGATGGAAATGTTCTAACTATTCATGAGATAGATTCTGCAAGGTGCCCGAAACTTGCATCGGAGATTTTGGTTCATGTTGCTGCACATCCTTGATGTGGGTTTCCTGTTCCACTAAATTCCAAAGTTGATCTCTTGGACTGAGATCTGTAAACTATGGAGGCCATTTGTGTACGGTGAACTCATTGCCATGTTCAAGTAACCAGTTTGAGATTATTTTAGACGATGATTAGCTCTCTGATGAGGCACATTATCCTGCTGGAGGCAGCCATTGAAAAAAGGGCGCACTGTGGTCATGAAGGGACAGACATGGTCAACATCAATATTCAGGTAGGCTGCGCCGTTTTAGATATGCTCACTTGGTGCTAAAACAGTCCAAAGTGTGCCAACTGCCTGAACTGTTGATACAAAGTAGGGGGTCTATTTACGCTTTCATGTTTTTCATCCAAATATTGCATCAGAAATGGAGACTAATATATTATAAAAATATTAAATTTTCCAATTTTGGTGAGCTAATGCTATCTGTAGCCTTGGTTTCTCTGTTCTTAGCTGACAGGAGCAGTCCCTGGTCTATTCTTCAGCTGCTGTTGCAAATCTGCTCCAAGATCTGACGTGTTGTGGTTTTAACAAGTGGTTATCCCAGCATTTCAACAGTGTGTGAAATCACCTTTCTTCCCATTCTGATGCTTTTTTTTTTTACTTTAGCAGGTTGTCTTGACAATTTCTTCTGCCATGTGATTGGCTGAGTAGCTGTTCATATTAAAAAGCAGCTGAACATTAGGCTTAAGAAGAAGAGATGTTCTTTTCCTCCACATGAATGCTAAACCCCATTTTCTTCAGCTTTCTTACTGTAGTCATTGCAGTCTTTGTAATTGCTGAGAGAGCAGTAACAGAAGGATCCGTAAGTATTTCAGATTCCGAGATAACACTTGCCAATTTTGGCAAGTCTTTAAAAGATTACATTGGCCTAAAAACAATTGTCATCATTAAAACAAAGTGTTTCAGTCCACTTCTAGAAAGGTTCTGGTGTCTCTTACAAAAAACAAAACACCTTCTTTATTTCCATCTAGGAACTTTGCTCTTTATTATAGTAATCTAGTCAATCCTCTGTATTACTCAGGTACCATGAGGAGGCAGATCTTTCCACGGTGTCTTTTATCATTTGAATACTGAAGATGAGATGATTGCACTGAGGTGGTTGGCTTAGTTGCCTCTGGGTCCCTGACTGCACAGACAGGAAATGGAGAGAAAGGCTTTTATTGGCCTAAGCCCCTTAATCCCAGGTACGTGCCCTCCCACTCAAACTCTGAGGAGGCCTTGACTTTGTGTGTTTACTTGTGTGCGTCTGCTTACAAACCTAATTAACAGAAGGTGACAATAGACCTACTGAAACACAGCCCGTATTTAGAGTCTGATTACCCCATTGATTTGATTCAGCAAACATTATTATGGAAATAATCCCACATAAGTGAATGTCATGTTCCATTATGATGTCATTTTTGCCCCTCAGTGTACCTGGCTCAGGTCTGACTAGCGGTCACTATAAACTCCACGAATGCTCGATCTAACGAGGATATTTGACATTCCTCGAGGTTACAACACATCCCCTGAGCTCTGTGTGGAGTCCTGATGCAAGAGAGGAGCAGACAGGTAGCATATTCTCTCCCAGCAGCATGGTCTGCATGTAACCCTTTGACTAGGACATTGCTGGAGGCTGGTGGACATATCTAGGGAATCTCAGGGTGACCTGTCCTCATCAGACAGAGGGACCAGAAAAATAAATAATATAGTGTGCATAGTGCATAATAAAAAGGTTTGATCTTTCTGTTTCTTGTTTCAATACAAATGAGCATCCTGCATATGAACATCTCTTTTCATGTCGGTTTCTAAACTTTATTTTTCTGCTGCTACTCCTGCCGCTGTTTTTCACATTCCTGTTACTTTACTCTTACTCATTCTGACACGGTTTGAGATGATTTAATGCATAAAGAAATGGAGCAGCAACATTCGCCAAGGGTGGTGTCATCACCACCCTTGGCGAATGTTGCTGGCAAGTGCATGAAAATAGTTTTGTTTGATGCACTGATTCACAGAGATACCTGGAGAAGCTGTGTGCATACAGTAAAAATGAGGATGTGATTAAATACAGTAACTTGCAGACTGGATGTAGCTTTGTGCACTGTTCTGAATGTGAAATGCAGGATAACAAAGAAGGGCTCCACTGTCTCTCTGGTAAACATGTCCGTTTTTTAGTTCTTTCATTATTTACATTCGTCCATCTCTCTCAACCCGACACTCCGTCCTTTATATCTCTGTTCTTGCTCTCTAATCCGGTTACCTTGCCAAGGTGATCAGTGTGCGGTACACAAGCAACACTCCTCTCCTGAATCCACACAATGTACTTGAACTTACACAGAACTGGGAATGATACAAACACATTTGTATCAAGAAAGAACAACAGCACCAAACTGATACTATATATTTTAGTTTAAGTTAGTTGAGCTTACTCTTACTCCACATCTGTCCAAATATTTTCCAGGAATAGTTTCTTGAATTATGTATAAAATTAATTTGTAGCTTCTAAAATGTAATTAGTAAACACTGTTGGTAGTAAATATTAACTACGAAATATTTTTTGCTGATAGACTGTACTGTTTAAGTTCTAGGTACTATACGAATACTGAATTAAACTAGATAAAAGTAGAACCTTCTTCACTCCATTTGTGGGGCAGGTTATTGCACCCATCTTGGAGAACTTTCAAAAGCTGTTCAGTGGAAATATGCTGTCTCATTTGCATCTGTCTTTTAATGTAGTCCTAGGCAGACTCGGTGATGTTGACATGATAATAGGACATTATGTTGATGCTGAGGACTCTGCAAGGCCATGTTATCTGTTGCAGAAGTTCCTCTTCTTATTGAAGATTGCTCTTTATGATTCTGTCTGTATGTCTGGGCTTGCTGCAATGCTAACAATCTTAACTTCTAAAATGCCCCTAAAACCTCTGCACCATATTACATTTCATTTCATGTCCCTTTTATTCTCTATGCATAAAGAGGTAAGGTTGCAAAGTGCACTGAGTACTTTTATGTGCATAAAAGATATGCACAAATACACACAATTCTGAGTTAACACCGAGTCTCTTTACTGAACTGACCGTTAATCTTTTGGAGGCATCCACTTCAATCATGCCACGGAGAAGGTTCTGACAATCTGGAGGGATGAAGTGTGGCATGTGAAACACACCCAGCTTCACCTTCTCCAAAAGATTCCTTAAGTTGTCATCATCAAACGGTAGGGCGCCCTGAAGAAACATAAAGGCAGAGAAAAGAGAAAAGAAAAGAGACTGAAATGATAGTTGGCAGACGTGACAAGTAGGAGCAGGGAACTAAGTAGAGAAGAAAGAATTTGCGCTTAATACAACAGCAGCATTATGACAGAGAAAATGATTTTAACTGACTGAAGTCACAAAAGAAAAAAAGATTATTAATGACTAACAAGACTCGCTAGAAGAAACAAAAACACATTTCGAATCTTAATCCTGCACGACTTAAAAATTCAGCTTGCTTTCGCAACTCATTCAACTCTCCAGTTGGAGCATTTTGCCCTAAACAGCAACGCTAAATAAATAATAAACAGCAGTGAGCTGAAAACAGGGCTTCGCTAATAATTACCCAGATTTCTCATTTACCTCATTCATTTAGAATTCTTTCATAAGAGTCATTTATCAGAGGGTGCTGACACCTCACAGATGTAGCAATTTGATGAATGGCAACCTCAATCACAAGAGAAGATGGAGGGGTGGAGAAAGATGGAAAGGGTGAGGAAAATACAGAAAGAGCTGCTGAGAAATAAAGAGGCAGGAAAAAGGAAGGTAGACTTGTGTAACAGATGATCTGAGTGCAGCCTAACTCCTGCGGAGTATGCGTGTCTCCCACAATCAGACAAATGGTTATCTCGCGGCTAGTCAGCAGGACGAAACTGAAGAGAGACAGCATTTTTCTGCAGTCAAGCAGCAGAGGCGGAAAAAAAAACTTTTGTTTGGAGCGAGAAAAGCGTGGTCATGATGGAGATAATGGTAAGCAACATCAGTTTTATGCAACACAACAGTACTAAGTATACTATCCTTAAAACAAGTGCACACACACATAAGACAGACAGAGTGGAGGGAGAGAGCGGCAAAAACAAAGACAAATACACAGGGCCTGTGGCCAAAAGCTGCCCTGTCAGCATTGGTATTTATTTTAGGCTCTTGTCTTTCAGTTTGGCTGTATGAATTATTCATGGAGCTGGAGTGTGTAGGAACTACAGTACAGCTGTTGATGAAACAAAGCTTCGGGGCTGCATGGCTGGGGAACCACAGACATAATGCAGCTAGAGAATAGACCTGATTATGGATACAGCGTCGTCTGTGGGTACAGGATAATGAATAAAAAGATGCTTCTTTTCTCTGATCTTCTGTAGCACAACTATATCAGCTAGAGGGTGTTTCTGCAACATTTAGGGTTTTTTTCATTTAAATGACAGAATTTGAATTTAACTCCTTAACACCTGAGTTTATGTCAGAGGCTCCGTGGTGAGTTTAGGCTAGCACTCTCTTTTTATTTTTCAAGCTTCACTTGCGTTCTTTATTTATTCACTACGATGCAAAGGCTAGACTTACTCCTGGATATGACACAAAAGCAACACTTCATGGCAAAATTGTATTACGCAATATGCCTCTAGAGATGTTAAACTGGGTGTCAGTATAATATTAACATCATTTACTGAAGAACAAGCTGACACTCACCACCAACAGAGCAAAAAGAATGACCCCACAGCTCCAGACGTCTGCTTTCCTCCCGTCATACTTCTCTCCCTAAGGGCAAAACATTGTGTTAGACAAGTTTAGACTTAACGTTAAGGCCAACTGAAACAAGACGGAGGATGACTAAAAATAAGTTAGCACAGGAGGAATGAATATTGTGATTCTGTGAGTAGTCACTTACCCTGATGACCTCTGGACATGCGTAGTGCGGAGATCTGTTGGAAAAGGAGCAAACAGATACAGAAGGTTCAAGTTATCTAAGGACTTTTTTCCGTTGTGCTGCAGAGTAAATAAAAGTTCACAACAGATAAAACAAACAAGCATAAGTCACAGTCTGAAAATATGAAGACAACAATTTATGCAGACAGTAAAACTCTCCAGCGAACGTAGATCAAGATGTGTTTTAGGAGTTTAGGGGTCCTGAGAGTGTTTGGATGTCCTCTGCCTTGCTCAGTCAAGGGCATCCTCTCACAGCAGACGGTGAACAGACCCACTAATCTTTACAGCCCCTGGATAGACTGACAGTAAAGCCAATGACTAGATTGACATATCAATATCATATGAAGATTTATGGAGCTACCTTGCAAAGACCCCTCCATAAGCCCAGGTCTATGGATGAGTGCAGCATATGGGTGACTTGTTACTCTATATATTAATTCTTCTCACTGTTTGACATTCCTATATTTTTAAGGTATTCTCTGGAAATCAATTAATCAGATAAAAAACTTAATTTCTTTGCTCCTCAAAACAAATCACCTGTCTCCCTAGACCTCCTACCATTATGAAATGTGTTGTCCACCTCTTTGTCTCACTCTATTTAATGGCATAGCATTTGGGTCGACTGAGGGACTACGTAGTTTGTAAACAGCCTTTAGATTGGCTGTTTTCTTGTGCACTCAAGAATACCAGCTCTGACAGCCCAGCTTATTCAGACTGTCAAAATACTGGCCAAAAACAAACACGGTTACCGTGCCAACTCGGGATCTCCAAGTGCCTGTGCAAATAAGTACTTGATGACTTTTCTTCAAAGAAAAAAACCCATCAGCTCTGCACTCATTTTACTTCATGAAGGCCACAACACACAAGGCATGCAAAACCTATAGCTTTGTCCCATTTAGGTCATTTCTTGTCAGTTCATCAAATGCCACACGTTCCCCTACAGCTTTGGTTTCGACAGGACTTCAAATCTACTGTCAAAGACTGGGAATGCAAATATTTTATTTCTTAAAGCATCCACCATTCTATGCCACACTCTTTACAGCCTATATTCACAGAGCCATAGTAGCAGATATTGACACAGAAAAAAAATATGGAACTTCATGTGTAAAAAGATACCTAACCTTCATCCATTGGGACACTTAAATCAAAAAAACCAAACCAACAGAAACGCGAAATTTTAGCATTTTTTCAGGCAAATTTGTGAGAGTGAGGTGGGAGTTTTTTGTTTGTTTTCTGTACGGTTTCTTTTGTGTTACATTTCATGAATTCAGATGGGTTCAGATGAACTGACCCACATATAAGATGTGGAAGTAGCCAATAGGTCAAATAGCTGAAGCCAATGCATCAGTACTTTAAAGCGCAGTACCACTGGTGGTTGCTACAAAAAAGGATCCATGTAGTTCTTTTATAACGAAAAAAAAGAGGTAAGTCAGTAAAATGCTTCATGTTATTAGGATTTTTTGATCAAAATTTTTTTTTAAATAAAAACATTACTCTTTTATCTAACGAAAATGTTTAATGTATTCATCCTCTAAAGGTGCGGCCACTTTTGGTATGCCTTAGGAACACCGGGTCTAGGATGAGCTTTGTAGTGCTCACTTTGAAACACTCAGTCCACTCATTATTTTATGTTTAGAAAGCCCCTTCTGCTATTATGATAACATTCTGACTTTTGAAAGGCTAACCTAGTTCAGCTGCAATGTTTCCCACTATCACAGCTCTATTTAGTAAGTAATTTGCTGCCAGCGACTCGCAGCACAAGCTTAACTACACCAGGTATACAGTGTTTCATTAAGTTAACAACCATTCAATGACACGATAAAATCCATCCGAGTACGCTTCAGTGAACAAGCCAGTTAACGGGGTCAATGCTGCAAAGTTCCTTTCACATTTGATTGCGGATCAAGTATGGGTGATATTGTAGAAACATCCATGCTGCTCACACCAGGTTCGGGTTATATGGTGGGACACTAAAGATAAATAGAAAACCGTGAGAGCCACTTCCCACTGACCAGAAAAATGTAGTCTTTAGAAAAACAGTTCAACAGGCAGGAAAGGACTGTCTTCTATTGATGCATAAAAAGTTGGCTTTATCTCATGTATAGAGTTCATGAGTCGTAACTGTCTAGAGAGGGATTTCTGGATCTCTACAATACACAGTATACTGGACACATATGTATGAAGGGATGTATCGTGATCTTAAGAGATGTGAATTACGACAGAAGCATTGAAAGAAGCGCTGAGACACAGACATAAATCTTCATGAAAATTCATCTTTTTGGACTAAATCCGTGCACTTCCTCATTGCATATAAGATAATTTCCTTTCATCAATCTGTGCCATGGAATTATAGTAAATAAACAGTAAGCAGTGATGAACTCCCAGCTGGGTTTGTACAGACAGAGGAAGAGGTTGTATTTGCATCCCAGAATCCATATTTGAATATGCTTGCCAATGCATCTGCTATACATCTGTATGTCTGCACGTATTTATGTATGTGCTCTGAGGCTCCCACTACTCTACCTGGGGCAAGTTTCATCTTCACTCAGCTCCATTACCCACAGCAAATGGAATACATTTGTGTCAGACTGCTGCATGATGAGAAGGGGCCAGATAAATGTGTTTAATTAAAAAGTGTCATATCTACACTTAGAGACGGGACATTCAGAGGGGCATGAATAATCAATAACAACACACATACACACATATTAGGAAACAGCACGAAGACACGAAAACATTAATGGCGCCAACATTCTGCTATGAGACGTACATGCAAACAGACAAGACCTAATCAAGACTGTAAGGCTCGTGTTTTTGGTGCCGTAGGGTTGTTCAGATAGACACCTGATCTCTCTGTAAATGACAATGCTCAAAGTGATTGCCAATCAAGATGCTATTTGCTCGTTTTCTCGTTACTGTATCAAATTATTATCATTAGTAATAATGTAAAACTAATTTAATTTGCAAGCCATCATTTGCAACTCCAACACACATGGGAAGCCATATGCATACACAATACAAAAGCATGTCAATACATATCCACACACAAACATGGACACATGTGCAAACTTTGAAATTAATATGCAGATGGGAAGTGGCTAAATTTATTGATTGGAAAGAAAACAGTATTTCTCTCAATTGTCTTCTCATTTCCTGAAGGTGGTAGGTTCTGTGTTTGTGCTGTGTTTGTGTCAGGGAAACAATTCAATGTAAGGGGCTGCTTTTATCTTCACTCTTCTCTCCTATATATTCCCTCCTCACAGATGTGGAGTCAGAGTGGAGGAGAGACAGATGCAGGGCGCGCAATGTCAAATGACTTGATGACGACTTATGTTATTAGGAGCGCAATCAAGTGTTAATCTGTAAAAACAAAAAATCGTGAACAGATGTGGGCCCCAACCAAACTGCGTGCATGCATTTGTTTCATGGACAGCTCTGTGTTCGTGCTTCCAACAGGGTACTTTTAGTACTTTATAAATTTAAGAGGGCAAAGAATATTCATTCCACCTCTATCAAATTAAGGCTTGCTCCAAGTGAGTGGCAGCAGAATGCAATCAAATATAGATCAAGTTGGTCAAAAGATACTGCTGAGTAAGAGCTGCTGCATATAGGCTTTCTAGGAAAATAGAAAACTTTAATGTGGTCATCAAAGCTGAACAATGACTAAACGGTGGACACATCTGACTTGCAGATTGCTATGCGCACTGCTTTGAGTTGGCCTGATCTCTACCGATGAGTCATGAGAGCTTAGGCATTGTGCGACTGCTGAAAAAAAATTATGCAACAGTTTCAACTGGATGCATGTGTTTGCATGCACATGCACAATGAACGCGCGTGTGTGTTATATAAAGGGAGGGAGTCAGAGACAGAGAGGCACCCAAACAAGCAGAGGACATAGGGACTTAGAGGTGAGGGATGAACTAAGCCTGTTCTGTGTGCGCATGTGTGTTGCTGTATTGCGTGTGTAAAGTGTGTGTAACTTCAGTTTCAGCTGATTTGGAGGCTTAATCTGGACAGAATCAATCTGAGCTGGGGACAGCTGTCACAGAGCATATATCCAGCCGTGCACAGAGTGTCATGTGCAAATGCAGAGGAAATATTTTCCCAAGACATCCACTTTACAAGCAAGATAACAACTTAGACCACTCAGTTTGAGCAAATTTGTGGAACCATTTCTAGAGTGTTATGGATGTCTGTCACAAGTGTGTGCAAGACTTTGAGCCAGCTCTGACATCAAAACATGGACTCATCATTACTTCCCTATCGAGTGCCTGCTTGTGTTCTATATATGTTTTAATAGGTGAACTATACCTACTTATCAAAACTCTATGTTATTTTACTCCATCACTAGACAATAAGATTTCATTATCTTGGGAAAATAATTGGAGATTATGTATAGGAATTTCAGGAGCAGGACCACGCCTCCAAACACGCTCCTTCCGGCTGTCATCTATATAGGTTCCCCTAGTTCTGCAAGCTGATCATTCTCGTTTACGTGCTCCACCCTCCCTCCGTCCTTCTTCAACTTCTTCACTTCTGTTTAGTACATGGGGATCTGCCAGGCCCGGTAGCCATCGCCAGTCCCCTTCGAGGCCTTCGCCAAACCGCAGCTCAATTCACGTCAAAGCATTCACTTTTACCTACTAAAACGCTGTCAAACTTAAATGAGGACGTGGGCCCAGCTAGTGATAAAGAGAATAAAAATAACAATGCACTTCTATCATATTGGGTTGCGCTTACATATTCAAATCTTTTTGAAGTGAATTTAATGGAAGAGTGAAATGCTATAGTGCAGCAGTGAGGTGTTTCTGTTAATCCATGGTGTCACTGAGTTTATGAACCCAGTGCTTAAAAGTCATCATAAAGTGTGTTGCCTTTTATTGATAAATATGACCCTGCACAATGACCGCCACACCTTAGGGTTGAAGAAAATCACTCCCACAATAAAAGAGACCTCGGTCCTTTTTCGAGTGTAGTCCCACTTTAAAAGTGACTCTTCCTGCAAGCAAATTCATTAATGTCATGGGATTGATGTGCCTGGTGCGGTTGTGACTATTAGATCATAAACCCAGTGTGAAATATTAGAAGACGGGAGCAGTAATGTGTGGCCGTGGCCCTGGCCACGCTCATCGCCAGATACCATAGTCGGTGATAGACACTGAAAGTGTCTCCTGAAGAGATCAGCACAGCACGATTATGGGCACTTTGACAACGCTGCACCTAGCTGAGAGTCTGATGGCTCCACTCACTCCACTTAGTCTCTCTGACTTCTCCCAGTTTTCCTCTTCCATAGCAGCATTTCCACCTCCACTATGACCTTTTAATTACTCCCTCGGGACATCTGATATCTAATATCATTCAGTACATACAGACATTACATTTGTGATTCTACTTACCCACAGCTGGTTTCCAACAAACTATCGCCAACCTGAAGGGAAGCCATGCCAAAGTCTGCTATCCTGATGTTGTTCTTTTCATCTAGCAAGAGGTTCTCTGGCTTTAGATCCCTGTGACTGAAAGAAAATGAGATAGAAACATGCAGCAGTTAATGAAACGTGAAAAAGCTCATCATATTTAATAAAAGCAAGTGATACTGAGGAGAAACAAAAGGGGTCCTGAACGGTATATCAAACACCTGTGTACCACACTTGGATCCATGCATGAACAAGACATAACAGTAACCAGCTATTGCTGCTACCATCGTGCTCTTGGCAACACCTCTCTCCTTTGATCTGTCCAAGCTAAAACTAAGGGCTCCCACCTTGTAACTGCACTGGTAAAAGGTGTGAGAGCCCCCTGCTGTGTCCTTTTCTCCTTCTGTTTCCTTCTCTCTTTGCCCCTCAACTCCTTCCTCTCATCTCCCAGACAGCCACCAGCAAACTGGCTGAGCAAAGGGCATCAAGGGGAGGCAACCGCAGAGGTGGTGTTCATTAGATGCCATTCAGTACCACTAAACACAGCAAGGGGGATAATATCCAGCAGACATAATCTCCCTACTTAAAAGGAGCCGTTGAGAGAAATAACTTTCTGATGCTGACTCTGAGGTTAAGACCTCAATTTTGATGAGTGGCTCTTCAAAGAGGAGTGGCGTTAGCATTTTATTGGATGTTTAACATCTCTTCCCGGGTTGAGGGTTCTATTACATCATACTGTACAGTTCTTGTGATGTCTGCCAATGCTGAAGAGGGTAACACAGACATGTATATGTATGTGTATGCGCTGACACTTACTTGGCTATCTTTTCTACAATCTTTATGTACTTCCTTAGTTTCCATTTTGCTTTAATAGGAGGTCTTGGGTATTGGAGAGCCCCAGAGTTATCTCGACTTTCATCTTCCTGCTACTCCAATGATAGAAAGGGGAGATAGAACAATAGCTGGATGTGACTGCCTTTGAAGAGTGCCTCATCACAATGGACATTTAACCTTAGATGACATCAGTTGCTGTAAAACTCGTTTCCTGTCCTGAGGGATTAACTGTCAGCTGGCTTGTTATCATCATCATCCTGGCAGTCTCTGTGATCTCAGCTATAATTGAAATAAAACATAGATAGCATCTAAAACAGTTCTCCCCAGGCTAAATCTTTCATCAATTCACACAACCATCATTTGACTGTGATGCAAGTAGCCTGAGAGTTTTAACTAGCACTGTCATGGGGAAGGAACAAACATTTACGAAACTGCTCCAGGGGCACCAATATGAGAGTGTCTGAACAGTGCATCTCCAAGGTGCATGCATGTGTCCCAACAGGTCAGAGCATTATTGTAAAGTGTTCAGAGTGGCTGTTGATTATATAATGATCATAGTGATATTTATGAATGTGTTAAAAGATTCATTAATATTGAAATAATGGACAAAGTCTCCTAGCTAAAAGACCAGGAGGAAACACTGTAAATTTTAAGGGAGATTAATGTCGTATTAGTCGTTTTTGTATTATTATTTTTGAGTGGAACAAAAAAAAGGAAAAGCCTGAAAAATTTGTGCACCAAAGATTTCAGCTCTCAGATTATTAATTAATTAGCTTATCCATTTTTTAAAAGTAAGGTATCAGATCTCAGACCTTAAGTAGCCTGTGGGTGCTAAGGCTGAGTTTACAAAAACTCATCGCATATTTCCCAAAAATCATCCATCAAGGGTTCCTTTACCCACCTACCAGCTCACAAAGCAAGAGAATGGTAGAGCGAAGAGCAAAAGGAATACCAGTTCTGAAACCTAACATCACACAATCATGAAAAACACTAAAGATGAAAAGTGAATGACTTGTAAGACAGCATGGTGATCCTAAATACACCCCAAAATCCACAGCCCCTAGAGGTGCAAGCTCAAGTTTCAGCTACAGCCCACACATTCCCTAAAATCACTGAAAATCTTTGGATACACATTAAAAAGACCAGTGCATGCAAAACAACCCAGGAACCTCAAAGAGCCACACCTACACACCTAACAAATAAAAACTGATAGCATGTGAAGCGGCTCCAAAAGTCTTTATAAGCTGTGATACTTTCCAAAAGGTGTAAGCACAGACTATGCAGGGTGCTTTAATTTTTGCTTCTGGTCCTCTCCCTGAACTGTCTTCATCAGATGCAACAACAAAAATTAAGTTTGTCTCTTAAAGAGCACTAAACACGGCATAAAGAAAGTGCGTTGTCACAGGCCCATCACACGTAAAACAAACAGTCAACACTCAAGAGGTTGTTCCACAAAAAAAGGCAACAGCACATTTAAGCAGTGAACGCACCAGAGGAACAAATTGCATCTAAATGCTTTATTGGTTGTCAAGACCCTGGTATCTATAATGGGACATTAAACTGCCTCTCTGTCACATTAGACTGCACTTTGCTACTGTAATGCTGCTCACACAGCACACCTCACAGTAGGGATATTGTGTATGTCAAGCAAGGGTGGAGGCTGTTAAACAAATTCAACAATTGCAATGACATTGAGTAGTTTTTCTTAAAAAGAATAGGAGTTGCATACCACTGGCTTGCTTGAGGAATCAAAGACAAAAAGAAAGAATACACTAGATGCCATGGATGCATATAGTTTTTGCAAAGGTCTATGAGAATTGTATAAATGCTGCTATGCTTGCTTTAAATGGATCATTTGAAAAGAACAGAATAGAAAAATGAAAATGCCAAAGGGGGGTGCATAATTTAAAGTTTAGTACTGTCATCCATCATTTCCATGCAGTCTTGCCTTTGTAACACAAGCCTGTCAGTTCACTATGCACTATGCTCTGATGACGATTCCTTGTAATTTAAAGGTGATATGTATTTGTCTACAAAATCTGAGCGAGGATTTTACCCCAAGGGGCTGTTGGACATGATTCTTGTAACCAAACAGCGTACGCCTAATTGCCTGTGATCATTTGCACATATTTTGCTGATATGTTGTGTTTTACAAGAGGTTGTAATGGCTTTGTCCTCTTGGGGCTCACATCACTATAATTTCTCAGACACGTTTATGGTGATGAGCAGTTTTATGACTAGTTTGGAGCTCAATGAAAATATACTTTTCTCATGCTGACACATTTGACATATACCATGTTTTAATGTCGCTTTTCATTAGGCCAGCTCACACCAAGAAATGTGGCTCTAATTGGAGCCACGAGAACACTTACAACTAACACTAATGGATCAAATGCATCTTTTTGACCTATTAACATGCCAGGAAAATGACTCACCTGTTTTTGAATTTTCATGAGGTACTACAGTTATCCTGGTGCAATACAGTGCACAGAGTGGGGTTTAAAACCACTGTTGAGAATCAAAATGCACCCATTCAGCCTTCGGCGCACCCTGGTGTCGTTCTCCTCTTTCTACCTTTCTGTTTTCCTCTCAAACTTTTTTAGGTTTCTGGTGACCCAATTTGAGAGAGACCAAGCACATTCACTTAGAGAAAGCTTTAGGCTAATATTGTATGGAATTAGAAAAAGAGGACAACTCTGACTGCTGACTTGAATGTGCTAAGCAAAATCCTTCATTAGCCAGTGGAGTTAATTATGTATTCAGAGCAATGAGGGACAAGAAAGATAAAAATGCATTTTTAAATTTTTTTCAGTAATGTAGTTGCATTGCAGCTTAAACAAGTGAAAAAATAGTTATGTTTGCATCAGCTACACACTGCTTAATAGCACAAGAAATCATTTAGAGCCTTCATCAAAGTCAAAGTATTTAAATATTTTCAAATTTATTTGATAAAGATAAAAAAAGGTGATGCTTCTGTCCAGACTGAGTGAATGACAGTAGACTGGGGGAATTAATTATTTGATCCCCTGCTGAATTTGTGATATTGAGCACCTACAAATAAATGAACAGTCTCTAATCTTTATGTTACTTATATCGAGCCAGAACACTGAAGCTAGGTTGTGGATGGGTCTTTCAGCATGACAATGACCCAAAACATACCGCCGAGCAATGTTTCCTCTAAGCTGCGCGCGTGCGCAATTGCGCACTGCTGGCACGGTCTGTGCGCACATAAAATCTGCGTTGCGCACAAAAAAAATCTAACCTGAATTGAAATTAAAATTAAAACTTTAACAATTCTGTTTTGCAGTGTTAGTCAGTAAGTGACTGGCTGCTCCCGTATGGGATTAGAACGATGCCACCTTATCCCATAGTCCAGCCAATAATGTGATTCACATTCGTATATATGCAGCCAATCAACGTCGTTGACAGGCTATGACAGCGTCCTTATGTGCAGACAGTGTTTTAGCTAGCAAAGCGGCGTGGCTGATGTGGTGTGAAGCCACGTGAATGACAACGTGAACAACCATTGGAGATGTGAGCAGGACAGACGGAACAATTGACGGAAAAAGTGTGGACTTTATACCAGCTTTTAAATTGTGTTGATCGGCCACGTAAAAAATTTACTGCGGGAAGAAACGGTAAAAACGGCATTTTATAAAGAAAACGCTCGAAAGCGCTCTCGGCTTGTGAGCAAAAACAAAACCAAAAAAACCGCACCCTTTACTATTGGTTGAAAAATGTACCATGTCGACCAATCAAAAAATGATATGGCAACATGGCATTTAGTTGTTTAGGAAAGGGGAAGTTTTAGGAGAGACGGCGGTGTTTTAAGATGTGAGAGATTTGCGAAGTTTAGCGCAAATCTTGCGTAGTTAGTGTGTAGTGTAGTCAATAGTTTTGTTGTGTGTGTCAGAAAAATGAGGCGACTGCTGAATGTTACAGGTGTTACAGGAGTGATACATCTCCTGTTGTCAGGCCTGCAGGTATCAGGCTGTTGTTCTCCTTTATCTCATAGTGGACAGAAATTATTTTTTGGAGTGGCACAAATAATTTGTGAGGCATCAAATTTGATGCAGAACAGCTGATTGTTCTGTAAATAGTTTGAAATGTTTGTTTAAAAAAAACGCCTTGGCTGCATTTTTAGGTAAACAGCTGCAAAAAACTTTGTTGTTTGCATAACTCAGTTACTTTTTTGACCAATGTTGGGCAATTACTTATATAGTTACTTCTAACTATATAATTAATTGCCCAACATTGGTCATTAT